CAATAAATGGTCCACACGGCTCTTAATAGTTCTGCAATTTTGGATTGACTCTTCAAGAAGATGGGAAGAATATTGCTTATAGAAGAAGAATAGGGGAATAAAGATAAAGGTAAAACATGATATGAGCAAGGTTATAAATGCAAATGTAGGAAGAATGAATGTTCAGTAGCACCGTAGAAGAACGATGGCTGACAATTAATTGACTATTTTAAAATAACTAATACTCAGCATTTTTAATGCTCCCAATACAAGGAAAAGATAAATGTTTGAGATGAGGTATATATTGCCCTATACCTATAAATATGTATAACTAGTGTGGCAGTGACAATTAAAATGTTTTAAAGGAGAGTGTAGAATGTATAAACAACATGAAAGGGGTTTCATTTGATAGACAACAGGAAGCCAAAAAAGATTTCAGCAAAAATGTGGTGATAAAAGATGATTTTTCCTTTAATCTCAGAACCCTAGAGGCTGAGGCAGGAGCCTTTCTTGGAGTTCAAGGCTATCTTGGGCTACAAAGTGAGTTCAAGGATAACCTGAACCGCATGGTGAAACCCTCAAAAAGACCAAAAATAAAAACAGAGCTTATATTTTATGTGGAGCAATGCACGTGACAGTTGTGACAGTGCTGAGGATGAGATCTGAGGAAACCCTTGTAGAAAAAAATGCTCAAATGAGGGAGTAGACAGAGAAGACAACTGTGAAAGACACTGTGGAGAGATATTCTCGCCAGGTTGATGACGGACTGCAGAGAACAAGTGGAACTAGGCATAAGACCATCTGCGGGGTGAGCATCATCTTGTTCAGAAGCTAGTTTGAGAAGAAAGTTTAAGAAGCAGACATAGATGATTTTGGCAAGATCCAGCAAGAGAGATGTGTGCTCAAGTTCATGGGTGACTGATGTTGAGAGAGATTGTTTTTCTACAGAATGGAAAATTAAGCATGATTCTTAATCAAAGATTAAAAGCAGGGCTGAAGATATAACTAAAAGACAAAAGTACATATATGTAGCTAATAGAAATATCATCATAACAAACTATAGAATCTTCTATTAATAAGATCTTAAGAAACAAGTCTGAAAAAGAAGACCAGAAATAAACTAAGCATTTGTCCTCTTCACTTAGAAGACATTTGGTGTTTACACACAAGGAGGTGTTGAAAACAATGACCATTTCTTATCATTTCTACTTCATATATGCATTGCGTATACGCACCTGTACATAAGTATATATACATGTTGTACATGTTACCCGTTCCCCAATCATACGTACTTAGAGATGGATTTAGTGACTTATCTTGATGATGCTGATGATGACAATGACGATAGGATGATAATGATGATGACAACTTTGATGCTTATCTTCTGTGACAATGAAATGGAGCCAAAATCAACTAACACAGATACAAGAGAATGCAGACCTCCTTGATTCAGATGACAAAGAAAAGAGCAATGTGAGTATATATGTGATGAGTCAAAATGTTAGAAAATGGCCATGCAGCCAAATGGAACCATCCAATGTTAGAACTAAGTCCAAAAACATAGTGAAGGTCTTGGCAGGAATGAAAAGCGCTGGACAGAATGCCAGCACCACCATGTTGGAAATTGTAAAAGATGCTGTGAATGCCCCAAGATGCTGTGAAATATACAAAGGCTGAAATGCACATAAACAGTTTTAAAATTATAACAATGTATCTCCTCAAACTAATTTAGGAATAAAATGATTGGTTGTAGCCCGTGTAAACCCAAAGGGAATTTATCCACATGGAGTGCGTTCCTTGTTTTGCATTGTAGGCTGCAAATGCAAAAACATAAGGAGAAGCATTGCAAGTCATGCAGTAGATCCCAGAGGCCAGGCCAGAGCCCTTCCTGTTAATCCGTAACAGTCTGATTACTCTTTCAGCTCTGAAATCAGTCAGGTTTTCTGTTTATAGTCAAGCCACAACTTGAAGCTAGTGAAGAATAGAGAGCGTAAGTAAAGATGCTGGGCACAAAGCTGTAGTCAGTGGCTTGTCCATGTGCGTGGCTGGCCCTCCTTATCTATGGGCTCCACACCCACAGTTCAGCCAGTTGGGGGTTAAAAATATTTGAGGAACAAATTGTGTTTGTACTGATCATGTATGGTATTTTTCGTTGCCTTCATACCTTAACTAATGTAGAATAATGACTATTACACATAGTATTTATATTTCATCAGTGATTATAAGCAATTTGGAATTGATTTAAAGTATATCTTCAGTTATGTTTGGTTATATACAAATAGTATGTGATTTTATGTAATAGATGTGAATAGATTCACAGATTTTGGTATTTCAGGGGTCATGTAACATCCAAAATGTAAATCAAGTGTATCTACATTCATCTTCAGTCTGACTTTAGAATCCTAGGCCTGTTATTGAATTTATACCTGACTACCTTGCCTGACTGCAAAACTTCATCATATCACCTTCTTTATTTTCGAAAACAAGTCCCCTGGTGCTTAATTTAGTCACAAATCACTTGAATTCTAACAGCCAATAATTTTAATCTTAAATTATTTTGAGGAGATATTTTGCTGTCATTTTAAAACAGCAAAGAAATTTTACTTTTAAAGACTATTTTTCCCAGGCCATGCAAAGGAAATATTGAAACACTTAAGAAAATAAAAAAAAAAATGAAAAATTAAGCTTAGATACACTAATTTATATGTCCCCATCCCTTGTTGACAGTGAGAATTTTGACCTAAAATAATATTTTGCTGCTAATTTAAACACAGAGATCTTTTAACACAAGGCTTTTATTCTAAAAGGTGTTCATAACCAATAATAGTTGCACTTAGAAGAAAATGTAATATTTTACTATCTATCAATACTCATTAGTAGCAAATACAGATAAGCAAAGCAGCATACACATCGCCTTCTATCAGATTAAAAAAATACAAATTAAGACAGCCACCAAAAATAATGATCCTAGAAGTCATTTCAACACTTCAATCAAAGGAAATTAAGTTTTAAATGCAAAAAATGATTACAATTTATTGATTTCCTTAGGCTACTTAAATTTAAGTGTGGCCCTGTATTTTTCTTGGCATGAAACAAAATATTGAACTCTGCCCTTCAGGCATGCTACCATACTTAAAATGCTGATCTTATCATCGAAGGCAAGGCAAACAGAGTTGTACTTTAAAAGGAAAACCCTGAAGCCACTGGGAAGCATCAAGGGTCAACTTATTGCTTTGTATCTGAACAGTTTACCCAGGGTCACAGTGCCATGGGGACATTTGGCTTCCAGAAGACATTTTTCAATCAAAACACAACCAAAATTTGAAACATAATATAGAAACAGCTGCATTCTGGAATTTACTTGGTATCCCATTTCAGATCTTCCTACTTATTTGTGAGCAAAAAGTACAATATTCCTATGTCTCTGTTACTTGAATTTTCTATGAAATACTAAGTAATCATAATAAATTATGAAGTCATAAATCCAAAGAGAATTGGAAACTGGCAAGGAGCTGGAAGGGCATTCTCTCATGTGTTTATAAAGTGTTCTCCGCATCTTGAGCTACCAGTTGATTCTTTTGCAGAAATTGTGAAGTGTAGCCATCAACCAGACGCGGAAATTAAATGGTCCCTAAACAGCACACAGAATATGGCTACAAGTCACCTAACTAAAGAATATTTGTTTGCCTGATGTCCTGCTTCTTTTTGAAAAACCTCCAAACTTTCCATCTTTGATTACTAGAAATTAACTGCCAGTGAGTTTCCCAGAACAGAATCTGACATTTCCAGTGATATTTTGAATGGAGTTTGTGCTGTGGCCTGGAAAATACCGCGGATGTGTCAGAAAGGGATCAAAATCCTCCACTACAGGAGCTCAAGCTAAACATCCAGGAGTTAAAAGGATATGAACTTCTTCCAGAAATTGCACATACATGCACTTCACAAAGGGCAAAAACAATTTCTTACACATGTTTCTTTTCCAAGTTTAAACTAACTTTATGGAGAAAAAAGGGCAAAATATTATTCAAATTCTGTGCTGCTGTTTAATAGTCAAACTATGGTTGGATAAAGACAAGATTATCCCTAAAAACACATTTGAGGATAATAAGGAAGATTGCTCAAAGAATCCTTTGAGAATGCATTTTAATGAGGTGTATGGGGGTGGCTGGCCCTTTTAGGGCCACAGTACACAGTACTGGAAGCAGAGAAACACAAGGGGGCAGGAAGAGCTCAGGCTCTGGCTTCAGACTCCTCGGCCCGCTGAAATGGGACCTAAACTACTTTAGCTAGCCTCCAGATAGTTATCAGTTCTCTTGGCATGCAGAGAAATGTGATGCTGACAAGTCGGTTTGGTTTGTGCTGGGTCTAATTATTGCGAAGAGAAGAGGGGAGTCTTTAATGACAGCTACCCAACAGCAGCCGCTCTGCGACAGCCTGGGGCTACATTCCCTAGAATTTCTTCTTTGGTGCTCGTCTAGCGATTCTCATCAGACTGCATTTCTTACGCATTCCACAGGCCATTTTTTCCTTTTCCTCTGTGAACTTTGGATGCAAAGGAGGGACTTGTTAAAACTCACCAATCCAAGGACTGTGCTCAACGTAATTTGCAAGAGGGCAGGGAAGGCGTGGGGGCCGGTGGGTGCAACCTGCTCCGGGCTTGACTTTTAATTCCACCCGTCTTTCATTTGCGAGTATGTCTGTTCCAGAGTTTCTGTGCCAAATGCTCTGGCTTTCAATCCAAACTTAGGCAACAATGTGTTTCACTTTTCCCTGGTTTGAGGTATTTCCGTGAGAAATGACCATCGTCTGGGAGGGATTTCACAGAAGGGAGGTGGAGGGCTAAACTGTGTGATTCTGTCTCCAGCCGTCCAAGCAGCGAATAAGGCACAGGGAAGTGTTCCAACAGTGCCTCTGCGGGAATCCCAGACCGAGGAGTCCCAGCAGAGCGCGACCCCGGGACTGCAGCTCCAGGCCGCTGCTCCCCACACTTCCGAAACAACCTGTTGCGCCTCTTCCCCCTCTCTGCAGTTTCCCCGCCTTGCACCCAGGGAATTGATTGACAGAAATCATTATCCAACCCTCGACGCGGGGCCTCCTCCCGGGACTGATGATTGGCCTCCTGGGAGGACTGGAGTAAGGGGGTGCAAGAGGAGAGGTCCGCGGACTTGGAAAGTGGGAGGGAAGGACGCGCTTCTCCGGGCGGTCCCGGCGGGCTGCGAGGGCTGCGCCTGGGACTTGGGCTGCAGCCTGGGCTGCGCTGCGCCACTCTCCCATCCTTCTGGCCCAGTCCAGGCTTCGGGAGGACCCGGCAGCAGGCGTGCGGAGCTCCCGGAGCTTTCAGAAGCCTGCCTGGAACTGTGTGCTCTCGGTCTGACCTGCGGGAGCCTTAACACCCTGACCATGCTAGCAGCCCGGACCCCGGGCGCTGCTACCCGAGCGCGCGGAACAGCTAACTCCACCAACTCTCAGCAGATACCTGCGCCGCCACCCGGGCTGCTGCTGCTGCTCCTGTCTCTGGTAAGCCCCATGTCTGCACAGCCCGCTGCCCCTGGCCGAGCACTGCTGTCTTCGGGTCTCGCGGGGGCTTCTGGGGTGCCTGCGGAAGAGACTATTGAGCTAGCGAACCGCGGACTCCGGGTGCCCTTCGGGCGTGAGGTCTGGCTGGACCCGCTGCACGACCTAGTGTTGCAGGTGCAGCCCGGAGACCGCTGCTCAGTGACTGTGCTAGACAACGACGCGCTGGCCCAGCGGCCTGGCCGCCTGAGCCCCAAGCGCTTCCCGTGTGACTTCGGCCCCCGCGAGGTGCGCTACTCGCACCTGGGCGCGCGCAGCCCGTCGCGGGACCGCGTCCGGCTGCAGTTGCGCTATGATTCCCCCGGAGGGGCTGTAGTGCTACCTCTGGTCGTGGAGGTGGAAGTGCTTTTTACTCAGCTGGAGGTCGTGACTCGAAATTTACCCCTGGTGGTGCAAGAACTGCTGGGGACCAGCAATGCCCTGGACGCCAGGAGCTTGGAGTTCGCCTATCAGCCCGACACGGAGGAGTGCCGCGTGGGCATCCTGTCTGGCCTGAACGCGCTGCCTCGCTACGGAGAACTACTCCACTACCCGCAGGTTCCTGCGGGAGCCAGAAAGGAAAGCGCGCCCGAGCCCCTCCTGATGGACTGCGGAGCTTTCCAGGAGTTGGGCGTGCGTTACCGCCACACAGCCCGCAGTCGCTCACCGAACAGGGACTGGATACCTATGGTGGTGGAGCTGCGTTCTCGAGGGGCTCCTGTGGGCAGCCCTGCTTTAAAACGCGAGCACTTCCAGGTGCTAGTGAGGATCCGCGGAGGGGCAGAAAACACTGCGCCCAAGCCGAGTTTTGTGGCCATGATGATGATGGAAGTTGACCAGTTTGTACTGACTGCCCTGACTCCAGACATGCTGGCTGCGGAGGATGCGGAGTCTCCCCCAGACCTCTTGATCTTCAACCTCACCTCTTCCTTCCAGCCGGGCCAGGGCTACTTGGTGAGCACCGATGACCGCAGCCTGCCCCTCTCCTCCTTCACTCAGAGGGATCTGCGCCTCCTGAAGATTGCCTACCAGCCGCCCTTTGAAGACTCTGATCAGGAGCGTCTCTTCCAGCTGGAACTAGAGGTCGTAGACCCAGAAGGAGCAGCCTCAGACCCTTTCACCTTCATGATAGTGGTGAAGCCCATGAACACCTTGGCACCGGTGGTCACCCGGAACACTGGTCTGATTCTCTATGAGGGGCAGTCCCAGCCACTCACAAGTCCTGCAGGTAGTGGGCCACAAAACTTGGTCATCAGTGATGAAGATGACCTGGAAGCAGTAAGACTGGAAGTGGTGGCTGGGCTCCGACATGGACATCTTGTCATTCTGGGTGCTTCCAGGGGCAGCTCTGCTCCTAAGACCTTTACAGTGGCTGAGCTGGCAGCCGGCCAGGTTATCTACCAGCACGATGACAGAGATGGTTCCCTGAGTGACAACCTTGTACTCCGCATGGTGGATGGAGGAAGCAGGCATCAAGTGCAGTTTCTGTTCCCCATAACCTTGGTCCCTGTGGATGACCAGCCACCTGTTCTCAATGCCAACACAGGGCTGACACTGGCAGAGGGCGAAACAGTGCCCATCCCGCCCTCTGTTCTGAGTGCAACTGACATAGATTCAGAGGATTCTCTGCTGCTTTTTGTGCTGGAGTCACCCTCTTCCACCTCAGGGCACTTGCTTCTCCGACAAACTCATCCTCCCCGTGAGGATCAGGAGCTGCTCAGGGGCCTTTGGAGGAAGCAGGGAGAATATTATGAGCGAGAAGTGACAGAGTGGCAGCAGAAGGACATAACAGAGGGAAGGCTGTTCTACAGGCACGCAGGGGCCCATAGGCCTGGGCCAGTGACGGACCAGTTTACGTTTAGAGTCCAGGATAACCATGATCCGCCTAACCAATCTAGACTACAAAGGTTTGTGATACGAATTCACCCTGTAGATCATCTCCCTCCAGAGCTGGGCAGTGGCTGTCCCCTTCGGATGGTGGTGCAGGAATCTCAGCTCACACCACTGAAGAAAAAGTGGCTGCACTATACTGACCTGGACACAGATGATCGAGAACTTCGGTATACAGTGACCCAGCCCCCCATGGACACAGATGAAAACCACTCACCGGCCCTGCTGGGCACATTGGTCCTCACTGACAACCCCTCAGTGGTGGTGACCCACTTTACCCAAGCCCAGATCAATCACCACAAAATTGCTTACAGACCCCCAAGTCAAGAGCTGGGAGTGGCTGCGCGAGTGGCCCAGTTCCAGTTCCAGGTAGAGGACAGAGCTGGCAATGTGGCTCCTGGTACTTTCACCCTTTACTTGCAGCCTGTGGACAACCAGCCACCTGATATTCTCAACACTGGTTTCACTATTCAGGAGAAGGGCCACCACATTCTGAGTGAAACTGAGTTGCATGTGACCGATGTGGACACTGATGTGGCCCACATCTCTTTCCGGCTTACAGAGGCACCCAAACATGGCCACATGCAAGTGTCTGGACAGGTGTTACCTGTAGGAGGGCTCTTCCACTTGGAGGACATAAAACAGGGCCGAATTTCTTATGTTCATAATGGGGATGGATCCTTGGCTGATAGCTGCTCCTTGGAGGTCAGTGATAGACACCATGTGGTACCCATCACCCTCCGGGTGAATGTTCGGCCAGTGGACCATGTAGTGCCCATGCTAAGCTTTCCTCCTGGTACTCTGGAGTCCTATCTAGATGTTTTAGAAAATGGAGCTACTGAAATCACTGCCAGTATTATTAAGGGGACCAGTGAGTACACTGATGATCTCATGTTGACTTTTCTGTTGGAAGACCCGCCCTCATATGGGGAGATCTTGGTCAATGGAGCTCCTGCAGAGCAGTTCACCCAGAGAGACATCTTGGAAGGCTCTGTTGTCTATGCCCACACCAGTGGTGAGATTGGCCTGTTGCCCAAGGCAGACTCTTTTAACCTGAGTCTGTCGGATATGTCTCAAGAATGGAGAATCAGTGGCAGTACTATCCAGGGTGTAACTGTATGGGTGACCATCCTCCCTGTGGACAGTCAGTCTCCCATAATTTCTGTGAATGAACAGTTCATAGTTTTGGAAGGTGACAAGAGTGTTATTACCTCCACACATATAAATGCTGAAGACATTGACTCTCTGAATGATGACATCTTGTGCACAATAATTATTCAGCCAACTTCGGGTTATGTTGAAAACATTTCCCCAGCTCCAGGCTCTGAGAAATCAAGAGCAGGGATTGCCATAAGTGCCTTCTCTCTGAAAGATCTCAGACAGAGTCACATTAACTATGTCCAGAGTGTCCATAAAGGGGTGGAACCTGTAGAAGATCGATTTATATTTCATTGTTCTGATGGCATTAACTTTTCAGAGAGACAGTTTTTCCCCATTGTAATCATTCCTGTCAATGATGAACAGCCAGAAATGTTTATGAGAGAATTTATGGTGATGGAGGGCATGAGTCTGGTGATCGATACGCCCATTCTCAATGCTGCAGACGCTGACATTCCCCCAGATGATTTAACTTTCACTATTACCCAATTTCCCACTCATGGTCATATCATGAGCCAGATGATAAATGGCACTGTTTTGGTCGAAAGCTTCACCTTGGACCAGATCATAGAGAGTTTCAGCATTATTTATGAGCATGATGACTCTGAGACTCAGGGAGACAGTTTTATGATTAAACTAACAGATGGCAGGCATTCTGTGGAAAAAATGGTTGTCATTATGGTTATTCCTGTTGATGATGAAACTCCCAGAATGGCCATCAATAATGGACTGGAAATAGAAATTGGGGAAACCAAAATTATCAGCAACAAAATATTAATGGCAACTGATTTAGACTCTGATGACAAATCATTGGTTTATGTTATTCGTTTTGGGCCAGAACATGGCTTATTACAGAGACGAAAACTTACAGGTACCTTAGAAAATATCACACTGGGCATGAATTTTACCCAGGATGAAGTGGACAGAAACTTAATTCAGTATGTTCATCATGGACAAGAGGGCATCCGGGACTTAATTAAATTTGATGTAACTGATGGAATAAATCCCCTCATAGATCGTTACTTTTACGTATCCATTGGGAATATTGACGTTGTCTTCCCTGATGTTATAAGCAAGGGAGTGTCCTTGAAAGAAGGTGGGAAAGTCACTCTCACAACAGACCTACTAAGCACTAGTGACTTGAATAGTCCTGATGAAAATTTAGTTTTTACAGTAACCAGGGCTCCCACCAGAGGTCATTTAGAGTGCACAGATCAAACTGGAGTGTCCATCATGTCTTTCACTCAGCTCCAACTTGCTGGCAACAAAATCTACTACATCCACACAGCAGAAGACGAGGTGAAAATGGACAGTTTTGAGTTCCAAGTCACTGATGGTCATAACCCTGTTTTCCGGACATTCCGCATTTCTATTAGTGATGTGGACAACAAAAAGCCAGTGGTCACCATCCATAACTTGGTTGTCAGTGAAAGTGAAAGCAAGCTGATCACTCCCTTTGAACTCACTGTGGAAGACAGAGATACCCCTGACAGACTCCTAAAATTCACTGTCACCCAGATGCCAGTTCATGGTCATCTACTCTTCAACAATACAAGACCTATCTTGGCTTTTACCAAGCAAGACTTGAATGAAAACTTAATCAGCTACAAACACGATGGCACAGAATCCACTGAAGACAGCTTCTCCTTCACAGTGACAGATGGCACTCACACAGATTTCTATGTTTTCCCTGATACAGTATTTGAAACAAGGAGACCTCAAATGATGAAGATCCAAATCTTAGCTGTTGATAACAATGCCCCTCAAATTGCAGTGAATAAAGGCGCCTCTACACTTCGCATTCTGACCACTGGCCACCTGGGTTTCATGATCACAAACAAAATACTGAAAGTGGAGGACAGAGACAGCCTACACTTTTCTCTTCGGTTTATTGTGACAGAGGCCCCTCGCCATGGGTATCTTCTAAACCTGGGCAAAGGCAACCACAGCATCACTCAGTTTACCCAAGGTACGTTTCACTTTTATTTTCCTATGACCAAAGGAATTCTAGATCTTACTTCTGAGTATATGGCTGTCACTGAAAGCTTTATATAAAAAGTGTTAGAACACAAGAGGAGGGAAAGGGATGAAAAAAAGGGGAAAGCAGAAATAGACTTACTTCCCTGGGAAAGCAGCCTCTGTTTTGCTGTATGTTTCGCTGCAGTGATGATCACTGGAGGGAGGAGCATCCGTAGTGGATAGTGTTTTCACAGATACGCTGCCAAAGGAGGAACAAGACTTTGGCAAATCAATATAGAAATAAACTTTCTAATTCCGCTGCATTTGCCACATCTTTCCCCTTTGCATCCTCTATTTTGTGTGCCACACATACTTGATGGTGCTTTTAATACCTTACAGAGATATAAACTGTCTAAGTTGCATTTTTTGACATTGTTATGAGTTGTCATTCAAAATTCCTTTTATGTTACTTTAATTTGTAAGCTCATCATGCTGATTTTGCTCTGGTTGTTAGGAACTGTTTATGTAAAAGAAAAAATATTTGCTGATTACTTTGAAATTTAAAAATTATGTGATAATATTTCATATTACAGGCAAACACCTGTCCAAAGACATGAGAGAGAAACATCTATTTAAAATTATAGCAAACATGTTATATAACAGAATGTACTTCTGTAATATTCATATATACATATATATATGTATATACACATATATATATTCTTGATGATAAACAAGAAGAAAATATGTTCATCACCAAACTACATACACATTTCACTACTAGGCGGCTAAAGACATGTAAACTAGATTCACAGTAGTAACAGGAAAGAATTTCATCATTGTAAGCCTTGTCTCTGTCTGTTACAAACTCAGTAACAGCTACCGGTTACCTCAGCACCTGCATTCTGAGGCTACAAGGGTTTTCTAACCTGAGTTTCCCATGGGGTGGGCACAGTCTGAGACAGGAAAGGCAGGTGACCTATGCAGAATTACTCAGTGACAGAAGGGAGAAGCTCATTCAGTTTATTGGCTGGGGAGTTAGGGCTCTGTTCTCTAGAATGTGCAACTTTTATTACAAAAGGATCGGTTGCTTTCCTGAAAAACTGCCCACGTCAGAATGGAAACTGGATCTACCCCATGTGGGCTGTGTGGGTAGACACGGCGTGAACCCCAGGCCATCCCAGTGGAGGTGTTCTTTTCCTGCAACAGTATTCTGTTCCCAGATAACAAATGCTTCAATAAACATGGGTGTAGTGAAGTGTAGTGTTAAAGTGAACTGCTTCTCTGTTTAATGCTGGCAAATAGCCTCACGCTCCAGCCGCCCGATCCTTGGCTGTCAGCCTGAATGCGTATATCCTAGGGCCTGCAGAGACAGGAAAACATCAGCAAGCCCACTGTCAGCCAGACCAGCAGGAAACTTCTGTGTGCAGGGTTTCTGGGGCTGGAGGTGCATGCAATTTTATACTGGTGTGTTTTTGTAGAAAGAAAAGAATATGAAAAGAATATATGGAGGACAGAAATACCACTTCAAATCCTTCTGAAAAGGAACTTAATTTTAGAGGGTTGGGTTTTTTGTTTGTTTTTAAGAATTTTTAGAGAAAGTCAGGCAAATGAATTAAAGTCTCTGAATGAAGTCCAACAATTCAAAATATTGGAGTATTATTTTTTAAACACAGAAACCCTAAAATTATTCTATTTTATTATAGATAGTTGTATTGTGAGTTAGCACAATGATTTTTATGGTTTTTGTAAGTGCAGTTGATTATTATAAAAGTAATACTTTTTAAAAATTATTTTTAAATTACCACGTTCCAACACAAACTGGAATATCAGCTGGGAAAACACGGTGCTTATTCACACAGCACTCATTTGAACAAGCTGAGGTTTGTTGCACAGCAGTTATTTATGCAAATTAAATAACTTATTAAAAATGGAAATGCACAGCCATCAAGCACAGCCATGAAGAAAGTGGTGCTTAGAGTGAGGACGTGCAGTTTTTATTTACTTTTATTTTATTCTAAAGGGATTAACTAACCCATATTTTGATAAAGTTTTCAGTGCACTGAGTTAAGTCAGTTTAGCAAAGGTGAGGTCATTCTTCAGGTTACTGACAGCTGTTGGTCCCCGGAAGGAAATTTTTTTTTACTTACTTACAACTTATTAAAGTCTATTGTTAGGAAAAGTAGTAATACAGAGTTAGATGAATTCAAGAAACTATATATTTTAAAATGCATCTGTTTGTTAAGATGTCTCTGCCCCTGCCCTACCTTGGGTCTAAATCACTGTTTCAAGTACCGGAATTGTTTTTCTGTACCATAAGTACATAACGTTATTTTATGGAATAATTTATAAGTCACTTTTAGAAAAGCAAAACATGTCCCCCAAGGTGTTTAAATCAGGTATGGTTATCAAGCATATTAATGAACTTTTTTTTAATTATATAGAATGATTGTATAGCTAAAGGGAATAACTGAAATCTCATGTTTAACCATCAAAAGGAAATCTAGCTAATTCTAAGATAGTTACTTAAATTAGATATGCAGATAGGTCTAAAATGATGCATTTTAAGAAAACTAGTGTATATGCATATTTATAGCATATTTATGTTATGAAGGGATACTCATGATCATGTTATAATTTATGTCTTCACTTTTGTGAGATTTTAAAAATCTCTGTTTTGTTTTTCTTTTTTATTTAATCTTACTTTTGTCAGTATGTGTTTGTAGGACATTATAATTACATTCATCCTGGGGAATTAGTACACATACATAACACATCTCAATTCTTTCCTTATCCCCTTGCATTCCCCTGCCTCCCCCGCATCCATCTCTTGGTTCCCTTTCCTTTTGCAAGTGTTCTAGATCTCTCTACTGTTACCTATCATTTATTTTGCACCTCAATTTCTTTATACTTTGAGTTTCTTATGCAAGAGAAACCATGTCCTTTTCAAACCATGAATTATCATTAACAAAGTTAGAAGGACAATGAAAAGGGTTTTAGTGTGTTTCAACTAATCAATATCATGTTCTCTAATCTGGAGAGGAAATGTGACCAGAGTGTTGTGTAATTTCATTCAAGATTTCTCTCATTTATGAAAGAGAGTTCTTAAAAGTCAATTTTGAGGCTATAAATTATTTCAGTGAACATGTTTCCTAAGTATTATGTTCTTGTTTAAGAAAACACTGATATGGATGTTGCGAATAATAACAGGTTTTTCTTATCTCCTAGTACTGCAGCTTTTAGATTTTCTTGTAACTCTTAAGGAAAAGTGGGAGCATTGGAAGGGATTTTTACAGTTGGCCCGGGGTCATCATCCCTAAAGTAGGGATGTGGAGTTAGCAGGGTTTTATCACTTATTGATAAAGAATTGAGTTAGGCTAAGAAGTGTGTGTGCACTCCTCACCGAGTGAATGCATGTGTGTCAAGGTGGAGATGCCAGAGTGGTCCACGGGACCACGCGGGGCCTCATTTCCTCATATGAAACATTTGAGCTTAATTGATTATGAGACTTTGGAAAAATAATTGTGACAAGAGAAGATTCAAACAAAAAGGGAAGTTTTCAGTCTCCTTGTGAGAAACATATACAGAAAGATAAAAAAAATGACACTAGACAGAAAGTTAATTATAATAGGGAAAAATGAATTTCTATAGAAGAACAAACATCTTGGATTTATTTTACTTTCAAGTACCTCTATTAAAAAGAAGACACTAGGGCCAAGGGTTTAGCCCAATGGCACAAGTACCTGCCTGGCAAGCGCAAGGTCATGAGTTTGATCCCTGGTATCCCCCTGCTAAAAAAAGCTGGGTGTGGTGGCACATACCTATAATCCCAGCACTCAGGAGGCTGAAGCAGAAGGATCATTATGAGTTCAAGATCAGCTTGGGCTACAAAGTAAGCTCAATGCCAGCCTGAACAGCATAGTGAGACTGTATCTCAAAAAGCAAAAAAATAAATAAATCAATAATAAATAAAAAGAAGATACTACTAAACAGAAGGTCAGATTTTTGCCTCCCTGGACATCCCTGGTAGTAAGTCACCTTTCAAAGCAAGGATAGAGCATATGCTTCATGTCCATAAAGTGGAGCTATAGAAATTCAAGGGATAATTCGTTGATCCTGATACTTGACTCACTTTAGAGGATTCTTCTTTCAGAGTCATTGTCATAGGTAGCTCCCTTTGGCCAGCATAGCAGTGGTTTCAAAAGATTAAAGCACTCAGTAGTGCTTTCAAAAGATTAAAAAATAAATAAATAAATACACAGAGATACTTAAATCTTACATACCACTTTGAAGCTATTTTTAGCTGTTATCTGATTTTCTGTAACTTTGGAAGCTCACTGATAGACCCAGATCAAATACAGCAATGATCTGCTCGTGTCTTACAGACCAAAAAGATTGTTTCATTATGTTCTCTGTAGGAGGCGAGGTGGTGAAATGAATGAATAAATTTTAGAATTAGTGCCTTAGTAATGAAGACAAATCCATGCAAACAAATTTGACAGAGTAGGAAGCAACACAAAGATTGTTTCTGAGGCAGCATGATGTTCTGCTAGGACTACTGGTTTCCATTTTCATTAGGTTCAATGTTATGGTTTTTAAGTCATGATGGTTATTTTAATCTGTGGGATTAAAAATAAGGGGTTGGGGATTTAGCTCAGCAGCATAAGCACCTGCCTTGCAAGCAGGCGGTCGTGAGTTCGATCCCTGGTACCTGTAAAAAGATTAAAAAAAAAAAAAAAAAGGAAAAAAAATAAATTACTCCTTGCTTTTTCCTTCCAAATTCTGGGGAGTTTAACAAGCCTGCCATAGTAAATGTAAGAAAAGCAAGCCAGTGTGGGGAAGAAAAGCCTCTTTCTTCTGAGGCCCAGCCCTCCAGAGAGGGAAAGGATGTGATTTCAAGGGAACCAAGGAATCTGCCATGCTCCAAAATATCTTGGTTCCCACCCATCATGGTGTCTGTCATTCCATTTTTAGGGAGTTACTCCTTTGGTACGTGAACATGCAAGTACCACTGGGTGGGGCGACACCTTGGTATTATTATAACCTCAGTCTCCTGCTCTATTTATCTGTGTAAATAGATCTGATTTCTATGGGACAGCTGGAATCGAGGGGCTTAAATAGCTGAGAAATAAGATAGCACTGTTCTCTTTGGAAGCGGATTTAAATAGGTTTACAGAAAAGTAATACCCAGGAGAATGTTCCAGAAGGAACAAGTCATCAGCTTTGCTGTGGTAATGAATTTTGCTGTTTCGGTTCTTTTCTAGCTGACATTGATGACATGAAAATATGCTATGTCTTAAGAGAGGGGGCCAATGCCACAAGCGATGTGTTCCATTTTACAGTTGAAGATGGTGGTAAGTATTCTATTCTCCTGGTACCAGAACCCAGGAGAGAGACATTTCTTGGTTGCTCTTTGACATTTTTATAAGGAGTCTTCATCAAGTATTATTTTATACCCATCCAAATGCATGCAGAGAGGAATTTGATGTTTGCTGTAGAAAACTTTATGGTTCCAGTTTAACGCAATCCTAATCTGTAACAACCATAGACAAATATTGTAGTTATTTTGTGTCTTATGATTTGTAAGCACCAAACAGAGACTTCTGTATAAGTAGGATTGTCAAATTTGGTTGATCAGATTATGACCTGAATCAAGTTGACTGCTTGAGGTGACAGAGAAGTGGGACTCAGCCCATCTGTACACACAGCCGTGTCCCCGGCTGGGTGGTCTGTCCTGTGGGCTACTTTTTCTGATTTGCAGATGGCCGTTAGTGTGAATTAATGCTGATGAATAAGGTGTCGAGCTCACTAAGAGCTCAGCGCTAAGTGAAGGTCTGTGTTTTTACCCCATCTCAAGATGTCTAACGATTTTCTTAGTTGGAAGAGTCTGAGTTTTAGTCTAGCTACAACTTTTCCTTGGTGGAGTCTGAAAAGTACTGTAGTAAATGGCATCTGACTTATACCTAAGTCTTCTGGACAATCCTGTTGTCATGATGCCCCCAAAATGACAGCCAGCTCCCCTGGTTCTTCTTCTGAATCCTGTAGACTAAGAGAAAACCTGGCCGCTTCTGGGTTGATTATAAAGATGTTTTTGTTCTTGTGTGCTCTCAAAGGAACAAAATACTTACGTTGTGTGAACAAGACACAGGAAGCGAGGGACACATGTGAAAGAGAAAAGAGACGAGACAAGGACTCAGCCTAAATTATCTATTTCCTTATAACTTTCTTTTTAAAAATAGCACTCTATTATGTCCTTCATCTCCAAAAGATTGCATCTTTATCCTCTGCATTCATTAAAGTATTAAGTAGCATTTGTCTCAAACATCACTGGACACAACATGATCACAGTTTTGAAGAATGACATTCACTGAGTGGATGCCAGAAAGGCAAAAAGGTGTTTTAATTTGAGCTCAAGCATGTTTCCTACTATCAGTTAGAGGCGCACTGCAGCTAATGTATTTACTTTGAAAGTAATCAAATCACAGTTTAGTATTCTGTATAAGAATAACAAGAAACCTAGCAAGGAACGAAGTTCTAAGAAAGAAATCCATTTATGAAAAATCCATTTTATTCTATCTTGCTACACAAAGAAGACATTCTACTAAAATAAACTATAGAATAAGATCCTGAATTAATCAGTTACTAGTTCAAGATACCCAGTTTAGCTACTGGAATTCCTGAACAAACCTCAATGCAAACTATCATGTAAGTTTGCAAAATAAATTCAAATTTTGATGGCTACTATTCTTCTAGAATATTGTAAACTATATTTTTTACATTTTGTTTTTTCCCACCTATCTGTCTATGCATCCATCCAAACACAACACAATACAGTTACTCTATCATGCTCCACATTCTTAGCTGGGTAGCTTGATAACATTTACTTCAAACTTTTGGTCTGCATTCAAAAGTTGAAAAATGTAACATAGTATCAATATTAAGTGGGAAATGACTAGCTGAACAGATCCAACTTATTTTTGGAAGCACTGAAAAAGTGGTGGGCCCTGTAAAGATTGTCTTTGTCTTTGTGGCAACAGGAATGAATTCATATCAGCACTTGAAGAGCTTCAATTTCACATGGAGAGAAAAATTCCAGAGATACTCTTCTTTATCCTCTTCCTTTCTGCAAGCATAGCATTACTTACAGGGCTCACACTGATTCTGGCAAATTGCTATGAAACAGAATCTGTATACACTGCCTTGATACATGAAAACTTCCTCTTGAAACAATAAACACAGAAACCAGTAAGACTGAGAAAGGAAAGGCCACATGTATATCTGAAGTTTGATGCAATCTAATTCCATTTTTAGAGTTTTTTACATTATATTATAAATAGTACTGAGGTGAGGAATTCAATGCATTTAAATTTTCAGAGTATTAGCAGCCGTGATTTATTGTCAACTATGCAATCAGTAGTAGTCAGTGTACCCTTAAATTATTTATGATGTATGTCCTTTCACCTGCACAACCCAGAGACCGTATTCTTTCCCCAAACAATAACTGATCACTTCTTGTTTATAAGATGATGGAAAACGAATTACTCTGTTTTCTCCAGACCAAGTGTTGAAGAACAGTTATAAGGATGAAGGCAAAGAATACAGAAATTTTTGTGTTTTCAAGGTTATTGGTTTTTATGTTAAAGTATTTTAAAGGGCGTGCTTTCCACAACTTTGTACTATTTGTCCTTGGAATCAGAGTGCAATTTGGAAAATGATTATTTGGCCATGAAGTATGTTTACTAGAATGTTAACAGAGCTTGAGAGAGTTACGTCAGAATAGTCCATCAGTCCAGGTGTGCTGGGACCAGTAGTCCCATGTGAGTACGTGGCTATAAAGTCAAACACTGAAGCTTGGGGTTGTCTTTCAGTTAGCCATCTAAGTACAGGGACGGTCACTTATGGACCGAGATAACAGGTCTTCGGTTTCTTTTTGGATTCACCTTTTATATCTTCATGAGGGTAGCTCACCATATAATAATACCACAGACCCAAGGACATCCATGCTGTGGGTGATTCTCTCTTTGAACCCTAACTCTGGATCTATACTCTGCAGTTTTGTTGGAGGAAAGGAAATACTGATTCTTTTATCCCTCTTCTCATCAAACACATTCTTATATGTGATTTTTTTCTCAGCATTCAGCTCTGAGACTTTTCTATCACGGATTCTAACATGGAAGTCCTCTTCTGGCCCTTTTGTAGTTTTCTCTCCAAGGAGCTCCTGTGATGCCTCACTGTGATATGAGAGCCAGGCGGACAGTGCTTCGCCAGCTGGGGCCCACCCGCAACCCTGGTGATGGTGAATCACTCCTCAGCCCCAGCTCAAAGTTCATTTCCTCTGTACGGTTGTTTCCTGTCCTCATAAGGAAGCCTTGTTTGTGTTCCTCTTCCTAAATTTGTTAGGAATCAAGAATGTCATGTTAGGATCGCTTAAGATGATGATGTCCCTTACTGGGAAAAGAACTCCTTTGCATCAAAAGGTTGTCATTAATCTTTGTGCCTTAGGGCTCACTCAGCACTGAGCACATGGCAAATACTTAAATATTAAAAGAACTGAAGGCATATATAAGGGAAAAACTCCTTTGTGTGTGCATACGTGCGCGTGTTTGTGTGTGGTGCTGAGGCTTGAACCAAGGGCTTTTATATTGAGCCTTATCCTCAGCCCTTTCTGTTATGTTTTAAGACAGGCCCTCACAAGTTGCAAAGTTGCACAAACTGATCTTGTACCTGCAATCTTCCTGCCTCAGCCTCACAGGATTCTAGGATTACAAGCATGCACCACCACACCTGGTGTCCATTTTTACATTAAGATCAATTAAATATTCCCCCAAAAAGCTTCTATGAACAATTTCCAGTACACTCTTTGATTCTTTTAGGATAGTCTCATCCTAGCTTTAGTTTAAATCCCTGTGGCACCAAGAGAGATTTTTAGAAAAGCTTCTATATTTATAAACACATGGAACTAACTGCTGTAAAATTCCTTTGAAATCTTTAGTGAAATATATTTAAGATTAGAAAGATTCACAGTAACCAACAGTGTACAGCTCATATTATTCTTCAAAAATTCTTTTGAGGAAAAAGGCTCTCAATATTTTCCATAAACAATTATACAACTGAAAATTTAAACACAAAAAGCCAGTTTATATAAGTTACTAAAATTTTAAAGCCAGAACCTCTACCATAAATATTCTTAAATTCCATTATGCCCAGTTTTTTTGCTTATATGAGATACAACAACATTAAGACAGGTAAATAAAAAGCTATAGTAGCATAAATCATCCCCACTCCTTTTTAAAGGGTATTGTGTAAACTTCAATTAGATTTTTAATTCTCAAGTGCTCAGTGCTTGATCCGAAAGGTATATATGTACATGCATGTGTGTGTATGTGTGTATTTGGGTGTGTGGGTCCTGGGTGTGTGGAACCCAGGACCACATGCCTACTGGGTTAGCACTCCCTTCCTGAGCTACACCCTCATCCCCAGTGTGTTTCTTGATGAGCAGAAGGAACAGTAGAGATGTGTGATTGTCTGGCTTGATATTCAGAGTAAGAGGATCTTTGCTTTTTTCTCCATTATGAAAACTGGTCTGGTGTTTCCTCACTTGAACTCTCGTATGACAGGGCTATGAATTCTAAGTGGCTTCTCCATGCTGGCCTTGGCACTGGAACTGGGGCAGCAGACATATCTGCCCTGCCTTTACAGTGTATCTGGTCCGCGGCCAGACATTTTTTGTTGCTGTTTTGGCTTGTGCCTTTTGGTGCCAAATTTCCCAACCATCATGATCTTTAATTCATGTGCCACTGAAAGATATAAATAGCATCTTGACATAGTAGAAAAAGCTGCAAAGTCATTGCTATCTATGAAATGTCAATTAAGGTCAGAGCTTTCAAATTTTTATTCCTTATTTGACGATCAAATACTCAGACACACAGAGACCCTGGAAGCCCTTCATTCTAGATTCAAGAAATACAAGTTTTAGCTTGAATAAGACCAGTGACTTCAGGGCTCAAAGCAAAGCAATTACAGATAATTAGCTTGAATTTAATGCTAGGGCTGGAAAAATGTACATAAGAATAGTAAGTAGAAAAATGAGGTCTGAGTACAAGTGTTAAAAGATTTTTATAGGTGTATAGCTTAGAGGAAAAAAGCAAACATTCTTGACAATAAAAGTGATTACTGGTGACATGAGAGCCAGAGCAAGAATGGCAGTGCCTAAGAGAACTATAATAAGATGATGAAGTAACTTCAGGCGCTGGTACAAATATTTTGAGTTCGCAAGACAGCGAAAGGTCTACCAGAATACAGACCCTGAATAGGAGAGTTGGCTGCTGTGGCTAAATGTGCAAGCCTTCCTTTT